GGCCCTGAGTGGCTGAAACAATTGTGTTGCTTTGCAATTAAAATTAAATTTTCATTGTGCTTAAGAGCTGTAGGCTAATGTTCTAGTTACATTATAGATACACTCTTCTGATACTCCCTCAAGCTCTGGGAACTGAACATCCCCCTCTTCCCTGCTTTTATACCTCCACAGCAGGCCCTGCTTGTAAGACTTTCCAGGAGCTGTAGGAGTGAATGAATGTGGCACCTGCAGCCAGAATTGCATTACCTTGCACCTTACCACATGAGGGGGAGTCAGAGAGACATGAGACATTTCATTCTCCTGACCAAAGTGCATGCCATCCATGTTGTATCTCTGTGAACACAGTAGTTCTACTGGTACTAACACCATAATTCCAAACTCAGATCCCTCACATGTCAAAAATAAAACAAGGGACCATTATAAAGCTTTTTAACCATCTTCCTTTTCCCAAGAGGATTAATTCACCAAGCTGTTTGGTGTTACTTTATAAATATGGGTCTTGGATGCTCTTCTCAATTAGTGGTTTTACACTAGTGCAAATACAGTGCTTTTAATGGCTCCTGACTTAGCCCAAAGATCCATTTGGGGCTCTTTACCCAACCCATTCACTTTAGTCCTTGAGCCCGTTTCTGGTCCTAGGATTAACCGTTGTGGTAGAAAGTCACATCTCGTGCACACTATCGCTTGTAGGTCTCATTTTGGTGCTGGAAGGGAGTACTAGGGCCTGCTCCTTCATTAGTTGATACAGATACCATCCACAAGGGGCTATGTAGGGGTGAAGACATCCACCCATGATGACCATAGCTTCAGTGTGGAGAAACTAGAGTTTTCTTTGCTGTTTTGACAAGGAGCAGCAGAGAACACTTTAACAATGCCCCCTGGATTCCCAGGTCAGGGCTGGATTTCCACAATAGTCAGATGCTTAGGGGCAGTGATGTATTAGGGGAGGTTGTCAAAGTATGCAACTTTCTAGCCCAAATGGGACATTTGTAGCTATGGTTGTCTGGGGGGTATAATCAGTTGCCAGTTGTACTATTATGGGCTATTTTGCTGCCCTGCTGCTGCTTGTCACACTGCATGGGGGCTCTCAGGAGGGAGGGAACCTCCTTATTTCCCCTGGTCCCTGATGAGTTCCCCACATGCCTCTTGTCTCACTTTGTGCCCTTCCCTTTAGGTGACACTTGCAGCATGTGCAGAATTCTTATCCAGGGGAAGCAGAATTTTTTTCCTGCAGAAAATGTGCTGCAGTTCCTGCTTTTGCTCACCAAAGACCCCTGCAGTACCAGAAGAGCATGAAGGGTGGGGGGAAACAGCTGGCAGGCTGCTGGCGAGGACAATTTTCCTCAGGGGAAAAGTCACAGCAGCCTTCTTGGATCCAAGTTATGAGGCAAAGTGGGCCAGACAAGACTGCTGGGGGGGATCACAGGGCCACATGGGAGTACAAGAGGGGGGATCTAAACAGGGACATATGGTGAGGGGTTTCCAGGCAAGGCCACAGGGGGAGGCAGGGACCTCCAGGCAGGGCCATTTGGGGAGTGAGGGGGCTAGGTTTCCAGGCAGGACCACATAGGAATGTGGCAGCGGAGGTAGAGGGGGGCTCAAGAGAGGGCCACATAGGGGAGTGGTGAGGCTCCAGGCAGGACCACATGGGGAGGTGAAGGGATTCCAGGTTTGGTCACAAGGGGATGCAGTGAGGGGAAGGCTCTAGGGAGGATCACATGGGGAGGAAGTAAGGAGATTGAAGATTCTGTGCATAGGAGCTTAGAAGGTGTAAATCCAGCATGGCCCTGGTCAGCAAAGGTGGATCAAGAGAGAATCCAGGCCAGTGACCCTGTTTCCTCTCTTCAGTATGGATGGAGCAGGATTTGGCTCAGAGTGTTTTTTCTAATTTGGGAGCAAATTCATCTATGGCAAAGGATAAGCTTTCTTGGGTTATAATAAATAACGACAGCTCTCTTTGTTCTTCCACCTGCTTTTCTTGCCACATGAAAGAAGCTCCATCTTGATTAACCAATAGGGAAAACTTACTTTAAAACTTGCATTTAAACTTCAGTCCACAGCTTTTCAACCCTCTTCTCTAACACACCAGATTTGCTGCAGCATTTACAGAAGTAACAGCAGTCAGAGTGTTCCAGCAATAGCTTATTTATTGTCTATTGTGACATTAGGGTTTGTTAGCTATATTTTCTAGTCTGTCCTTCAAAGGCAAGGTTAGAATGTCTGATGAGTATATGCTGTAGGAATTTTTGTGGGCAAGCTCTATGGCCTGCATTATCCAAGCACTCAGATTAGATGATCACAGTGCTCCCTTCTGGCCTTGCAATGTAGGAATCTGATGTGACTAATTCTTTAAAGTTGACTCCTGTATGTTTCATAGCACATTTTGTCTTAAAATGTTTTTCCCTAAAGACAAAAAAGTAATGAAACCAAACAATAAAACAAAAGTAATAAACTACTTTTGACAGGGTACTTACTGGTGCTTAAGTAAGGCAACTGTGACATGCTTTTCCAAAAGCTGTATTAATGTCAATATGGCATTTATATGAAGAGATGTGAGGTGTGATTTCTGCAGATCTGTAAAAACAATAATAATTGCTATTAACATACAAAGCCTTTTGTTTCAATGGGGTGGGAGCCAGGAGGAGAGAGAATTATGGACATGAGAGATTTTTCTGACTTTCTTCAAAGTCCTAACATCAGAACATTCCCCAGCTGGTGCAAAGCTAGACATGGGTTAAGGCCAGGTCCATTCCCCACAGATGTTTAATGTCCTGTCTGGAGCTACATCATATTAAAGAAAAACGCTGAGTGAAGAAAAAACTTCCTTTTGTTTGTTTTAAACCTGCTGCCTATTAGTTTCATTTGGTGACATCTAGTTCTTATGTTGTGGGAATAAGTAAATAACTTTTCATGATTCACTTTTTCCACACCAGTCATGATTTTATAGACCTCTATCATATTTCCCCTCTCCCCCCCCCCTTAGTCTCCTCTTTTCTAAAATGAAAAGTCCTAGTCTCTTTAATCTCTCTTCATATGGGACCCGTTCCAAACCCCTAATCATTTTAGTTTCCCTTTTCTGAACTTGTTCTAATGCCAGTATATCTTTTTTGGGATTAAGAGACCACATCTGTGTGCAGTATTCAAGATGTGGGGATACCATGGATTTATATAAAGGCAATTAAGATATTCTCCATCTTAATCTCTATCCCTTTTTTAATTATTTTTAGCATCCGATGTGGGGTTTTTTGTTTGTTTGTTTGTTTGGTTGGTTGGTTGGTTGGTTGTTTTTTTTTTTTTACTGCCGCTGCACACTGTGTGGACGTCTTCAGAGAACCCACTTGCTATTATGCATGCAATCAGAAGAGATCTTTGGGAAGGGACAATGTCTGCCTTGAAATATATGGGACCGGAATAAGCTGTAAAACCTTCCTCTGGCAATTCAGTCTGTGAGGTGTGATCAGTTTCAGACTGTGTTTACACCTGAGGTCTGAAATGTTATCATGGCTTTTGAGTCTAAGGGCCAAATATGCATCAGTTAGAGAATAAATATGCAGAGACATATCGTTTTCTTCGAAGTCATGTTTTAGCCAGGGACCAAGCTAGGTCCTGGAGGAGCAGTCTCTGAGTTTTACAAGTGTTGACACCAGATTTATAACCATAGAGGAGTGTGATTATACCACTGACTATCAGATTCTGGACCTGGATAGGGGTGAATTACTCAATAATTATCATGTTCTGTTTATTCTCTCTGAAGCATCTGGCACTGGCCTGGATGGGAAGAGGATACTGGGCTAGATGGACCATTGGCCTGACCCAGTATGGTTGTTTTTATGAACCCCACTCCCTGCGGGTGATCCTTGGGCTTATTTTCACGTGGCCAGTGTACACCAAGGCTTACAGCACAGACCCCTCTCACAAGCCTGGCTACTCCTCCAGCCTTTGCGACAGCTGGGCGCCCTCTAGGGACCAAACTTCACCTACAGCCAAACAGGTGGGCGAGCCGGGAAGCCCGGTCTACACAAAACCGAGAGGAGGCACCTGCACCGCCGCTGGGATAAAATCGCACTCCCTCTCCCCGCGCATCTTTAGTGGCCCCGAGCTCCCAGACCCTGCGGAGTTGTCCTCTGGGGCCTTTTCTGCCTTCGAGTTTCCCACACTGGCTCCCCTTCCCCAGCTCGGGAGGGGGAGAGGCTCGCAGCTTCGCGGGGGCACCCAAGGGAGTCGCTGGGGTCGCTCCCGCCCCAACAGGGCCCTGGTGAAAGAGAGGTGGGGGCTGCAAACGACCAGGAGCGCTTCCCGGCGCCCAGCCTCCCCCGGCCCCGGCCCCCACCACCTGGGGGAGGAGCAGAAAACGGGCTCACTGGCTTCCCTGCCTGGCTCATCCCCCCAAGCAGAGCCGCTCGCTGCGAAGGGGGGGCCGCACGCCCTGAGTGGGATGTCGTAGGTCCTGCGTCAGCTGGCGCCCGGAGGCGATTGGGGGAGGCTGCGCTTTTCCCTTTTTGACTAATTATAAAGTGGCTCCGGCCGCTTCCCAGAGCCCGGACTTGGGTGAGGAGCTTCCCAGCCCTGCAGCCTGATCCAGCCAGCGCGGGGGGGCGAGGCGACTGCCGCTCCAGCTGGGCGCTTTGCTCCACCTGCCTGCTCGCTCCTGTAAGATTTATAGACGCGGAGGCTCGCTGACTCCGGGCTATTGCTTGTCTCCTGTATTATTTTTTTTTCCTTCCAGAGCTTCTCCAGAGGCACAACTTGCTTGGCCCCTCTATAAATACAGGGGGCTCACACACACCAAGAGGCGGCGGCAGCTCGCGACAGCTTGGTGCCGAGGCGCTGCTCCGCGGGCTCCCGGGGAAGCGGCATGTATGTGAGTGACCCGCTCTGAAGCAGTGGCGCTAGGCTGGGGCGAGGCGCGCCCGACTAGTTTCCACGGGGCACCGCTCTGTGCCAACCGGAGCGGCTTTTGCCTTCCAATGGCTCGCTCGCTCTTGTGTCTCGCCTCTGTCCCGACTGCTCCAGGGAACAGCCTGCTCCAGGGAACAGCCGCTGCCGGCTTTCCGGAGCAGTGACTGGGACAGGGGAAGAGGGGCGCCGTACCCGGAGCAGGAGAAATGCTTTCATGGGGGCTGGGAGCAATCTGAGGTCTGTTAGTTGGTTCGTCGCAGACAGCGCTAGATCTCGTCCCCCTGCAGGCTCTGGGCTGGCGAAAGGGAACAGCCCCAGCCCTGGTAGCTCCAGCCGCACAGTTAAGGGGGCTCAGGTGTGGATGACCCTGGGAAGGGAAGGGAAAGCCAGGAGGTGTCTTTTTCAGCCGCTGCGGAACCTGGAGTGCAGAGTCCCAACTAAGGTCGTCTAAGGGGTAGGTCCAGAGGTGAAAGTAAGCGGGTGCACCTTGGTGCGCAGCTCCCGCAAGAGCTGGCTGAGTCCGGCAAAAGCCAGTAGGGAGCTATTTAAAGAGCTGCAATGGCGCTGGGTTGCAATAGGACAGTACCTGTAAGAAATTTTACTTTACTTTCACCCTGGGTGGGTCCAGCCCCTGGTGGATAACTTTCAGCGCCTGTGGCTGAGCTCGAGCAGGGGGAGTTGGGGCACTGGTGGGACTGGCTGAGGGGCTGGAGATGGGTCCCAGGGCCAGGAGGAAGCTGGCGCCGGGCTGAATCCTGACCTGTTCTCTCCGCAGCCCATGGCGTGGCTCCTGAGACTTTGCGGCTTGCTCTTGGCTCTCGGCAGCTGCCTCGTGTGGACAGTGCAGGCGGACTGCAGCAAGGACTGCGCCTCCTGCTCCTACCGGCTGGGGCACCACGCGGACATCAACCCCCTGGTAAGCAGGCGCCGGGCGATCCCTGGAGACCGCACGGGTCCTAACTCTTTTACCCCACTCACGGCACAGGCGGCGCAGCTACTGCTCCCCCACGACCAAGGTTAGCAAAGCAGCAGCAGCAGCGTGCAGGCCCCTGCACCCCGTGAGCGCTTAGATTCAGGGACAGACGCCTGGTCGCGGGCGCTCTCCCGCCCAGCCAGTGAGTTGAGTTAATTGACTGTTGCGGTCCACTAGTGGGTGCTAAGGTGCCTGGGTAGGATCGGACCTTGGAGGAGAGCAGGCAACGATGCCTCCTCCGAGCGCCTTTGATGCCTACTGTGGCCAAGGGAAGCTAGGGTGCTGGGCCCTTTAACAGGACCTAGCCCCAAGTGCAGTGCAGAGGTTTCTGATATTTAAATTCAAGTCCACTGTAACCAGTTAGCTTCTTTAAAAACTAAAATACTGCATTTTAATTGGAGGTCCGATGTCTTCGTGCTAGAGTGAAAAAGACTAGAAGTGCCAACGGAGCTGGGGGGAGGACTCGGGAAGAGACTCCAATAGGCCCTTCTAAAAACTGCCAAGCTCCCTCTCCCCTTAAAAGAAATCCCCTTTTAAATGTGAGTCAAAAGTTACCCTGATCCCCAGGGGTAATTCTGAGAATTCGTAGGATAAGCTACCAGTAGCAAATAAGTTGCCCCGAGCTTTAGGACGATGGCTGTGGGACCTGAAACCTAGAGAAGAAGGAAATCTCTACAATTCCGGTCTAAGCCTCTGGGTTAGAACAAACCCATCACATCTTAAAAGAGCGAAAGCAGCGAGTTATGAGATGTAAAGGCAGAAGGGAATTGAACCAATGTTCCGTATTCGAATCCTCTCCGGAGGGGAGTTTGCTCTTAGGTGTTTCCAATACCTTACTGTTCCTTCAGCAGAGACTCTCCCTGATAGGGTGCCGCGTTGGTCTTGTCTTTTAATTCGAAAACAGTTCATTATAAAGCGCCTTCCCTCGGGATGAGCATTTTCCTTTGAGAATAGCTTTGCAAAATACGAACGTTATAATGTGATTATCCAGATAGGACAAGTCATCATAGACACGGGAGAGTGCACAGCACTTTCCTTTCAATCTGTTATTCCATGTCTCGTTACCAAGTAATAAATAGCTTGTACCGCAACGCTCCACTCGACATACACGCGCTTCAAAAGTCTGCAAGCGCGATGTGAACTTACAGTGGACTTTTTTATGCGCAGGTGCCCGTTTCCTGCTCAAATAATACTCACAATTCTGTAGCTGGGAGAGATGAGAGAACAATGACCGGACTGTAGGTTTATTGAATGCGCGCATCTGACAGCACTTTGGGGAGACTGTATTTACAGTGCGTGTCTGTGTATAGCTGCCCTATATAATCAGTCATATAGATCTCCCTGTTGTTGGCGCGGGTCCTTAGCAGTAGAACAGAGCAGGGAAAAAATAATAATTCTTCTTCTTCTTCTTCAATTTGGGAGGGAAACAAACAAAAATATGTCTGCGGGACACACCTCAGAAGTAGCTGAAATAGTTTTCACTTTGTTTAATGATATTTATTCATTTTAATGGGGGGGGGGTTAAGTTAAACAACATTAAATGTCCAAGTTAATACCTGGTAAAAAAAATCAGGACAATTCCGAGACAAGGCTGCAGAATACAGGATGCTGCGCTGTATTTTGGCCTCCGTTGGCTCCTTTTATTATTAGGCATTGGAGTTTCTCATTTGAAATAAGGTACCAGGGAGACGGGCAAGCTCCCCAACACTCTGTGGCCAAGCTCGGGCTTTAAAACATTAAATGTCCAAGTTAATACCTGGTAAAAAAAATCAGGACAATTCCGAGACAAGGCTGCAGAATACAGGATGCTGCGCTGTATTTTGGCCTCCGTTGGCTCCTTTTATTATTAGGCATTGGAGTTTCTCATTTGAAATAAGGTACCAGGGAGACGGGCAAGCTCCCCAACACTCTGTGGCCAAGCTCGGGCTTTAAAATGGATCTATTCACGTGCTCCTTGAAATCAATGGGACTAAGTGGCAGAATCAGTCCTAAGAGTCTGCTCCTGCTCCGGTTTGCTCTAGCGGCGGAGGATCAGGTCCCTCATGAGCAGCAATACCTCAGTAAATGCTTTCCCCCTTCCTTTCCCCTCTCCATTCAGAGGCCAGAAAGCATTGGTGCGCTCCAAGGCACTAATGTAGCGCTAATCATTTCAGGTGTTCTTAAAGTGCAGCCTGTGAACAACAATCCAAACGGAGCGTGTCCTCTGTAGTTACAAACCACTAGCGTCATTTTAACATGCATCCACACTGGCACCATCCATGGAAATTAAGGGTCTGATTCTGACAAATGCTGGGTGTCCTGAGTTCCCGCAGAAGGGGGAAATAGGGTTCTGAGTACTTTGCAAGAGACAGTAGCACCTTGCAGACTCTAGCCTCACAAAATTTCATGATGCAGGCACTGAACACTCCTAGTGAAACTAATGGAAGTTTGAGATTGTTTCGGTGCCCAACGAATGAAGGTCTGGACGCTGATCTATCTGAATTATAAATCATCGAACATTTTTCAGAAACAATAGCACTTCTTTAACCACAGAAAATATTCTGAATGCAGTTGACATATGCCCACATAAAAACTGGTACCTCGATTTCAATGACTTCACAAAGTTAAACGGGAAGCCTAGCTTAACTTTAACAATCTTTCTTGAACAGCAAAGCTATGTAAGTGTTAAATTCTGTTCATCAATAGCATTTATCAGCTGACATATCAAAACAGAAAAAGTGCAGTATTAAACAGTATTCTACATACTATTGGTTTCCAAAGGCATGTTTCTAAAGACATTAACAGCTAGTGAGTTCACTACTCCATTTCTCATAATGAACACCATAGGATGTAATCAAATCATTATTATATAGGATGCATGAGGTGCAAGTTTGTTTGGGTGTTGGAAGAATGATTGTTTAAGCTGATCCATTAACCAAAAAAGAGGGGGCTCTTGTTTTGTTTTTTGTTTTGTTTTGTTGTGTTGTGTTTGGGGAGTTGTATTACAGTGACTTACAAATCAGACTGCAGCTGACATATTATTTGTATAACCCAAATATGTTCACATGGAATAGACATGGAATGCCTGTTAAAAGCAGAAATTGTGATGTATTAGGAATAAAATGTTGGTAACAACATAATTACTTTGTACTCAATTTGAGACAGGTCTTTAACTCTCTAGTAGTCATTAATATGGAAATAATTGTAACATAAGTTAAGAGATGTTATTTCTCAATATATTTATCACACTTAGGACTGACCACTGGCAGGTAACTACAGAGGTAGTCAGTTACCTATCACAAAGAGCTCTTTTGAGGCTTATTTTCACATTCATAAAGCTTTCTGAAATCTTCTGATGGAAGCAGTATACAAGGGTAAAAATTCATAATTTAATTTTATTTATTATTAAAGATGATAGAACAATAAGGTTAAAAATGTAAACAAATGTAACATTTCAAATATAATAAGTACATTCCACAATGTTAAAAGTCTGATCATATGAGATCATATTTTATACGATGTAATAATTTCTCAGAGCCCCACCAATGGCATATTGTGAACTAGTGGAGTGGAGATTTTTTTGAAGTGAAATAATTTCAATATTACTGCTGATTGTTCAGTTTTAGCTAATCTTAATCCTTGTAAAATTATTTTGACAAGATATTTTGCCCTCCCTAAATTGTACACTTAAACATAGTCTAAGTAAGGGTATGTCTATACTACCACCCTAGTTCGAACTAGGGTGGTAATGTAGTCAACCGGAGTTGCAAATGAAGCCCGAGATTTGAATTTCCCGGGCTTCATTTGCATGTTTCCGGGCGCCACCATTTTAAAATGTCCACTAGTTCGGACTCCGTGCCCACGGCAACACGTGGCACGAACTATATAGTTGGAACTAGGCTTCCTATTCCGAACTACCTGTACTCCTCGTGGAATGTGGAGTACAGGTAGTTCGGAATAGGAAGCCTAGTTCCAACTATATAGTTCGTGCCACGTGTTGCCGTGGGCACGGAGTCCGAACTAGTGGACATTTTAAAATGGTGGCGCCCGGAAACATGCAAATGAAGCCCGGGAAATTCAAATCTCGGGCTTCATTTGCAACTCCGGTTGACTACATTACCACCCTAGTTCGAACTAGGGTGGTAGTATAGACATACCCTTACTTAGAAGTGCCCATCAGTTGCTCCAGAACTCTTTGAACACTTGGGCATCTTATGTGATGATTAGGATCACCAGTCCTAATGAGCATTTAAATGTGTCTTTCTGAAATTACTACTTTGTTGCTTTGAGAAGGGAAAGAAAATTGTGTGAGAATTGTTGATGCAAATTCATTCCTATGTGACTTCGGAGCCTTATTTCATTGGAAAGAAACATTCCTGGCATCTCAATGACTATGAGCATTTTGGATATTCATATTAACAGTTTTCATTAATACTAGTACAGGTTGAACCTCTCTGATCCGTCAACATCCATGGTCCAACATGATTTTAGTTAGCCGGCTGTCCACTTATCATCAGTGTGGCCAAGTTTCCCAGTAAGCAGTTGAAGTGTTGGTAATGCTGCTAGAGAAATTGACTAGTTTGGCACCAGTCAGGCCCCAAGGATGCCAGATGAGAGAGGTTCAACCTGTAGTAATATAGACAAACCATGCAGAGAGTATATGTTTAGCTGTATAATTTATGCTTGAGCAAGTAAGATGATTGTGTAGGTCAGGAAGCGCTGTTTCTTCCATATTCAGCACTGTTAGAGGTGTTCACTTTCCCTAGACACATCAGGTTGGCTGCTGCCACAGCAGTACACCAGACTACCTAAACTAATAGTCTGATCCACCTCTACATGCCTGTACATTGGCTTGGAATTTGAAATATGGTAAATTTGAGGAATGACTATGTATAGCATTATATCTCTTAGAGCCATACGATTTAGTGGCAATAAATTAGCCATGACATTAGAGGTATCTTGTTTGTACTGTTAGTGTTATTTTTATGTTATATTTTAACTTTTTAGCAAATGTTCTATGGTGGGTGGAAATCCCTCTAGAAAATCCAAAATAGAAAATTAATCAAGGTAAACTTTTCCTTTAAAACAGTGGCATTTCCTTTGTTTATTAAAAAGAATCAGTGTATTCTTATAATTATTAATTTGTATTAAGCAACTTTCTCTTATTATTCACCTTTGTTATAATGACTAAGAAAAGAAGCTGTCATGCATTTGCATACTGAAAATGAAAATCTGAGGGTGCTCCAAACTGAAGAGGGGTGTGTGTAAACAAGGCTCTCTTTATTTAAACTAGACACAAAGAAATTGTCATACCAGATCAGACTAGTGGTGGTCTATGTAGTCCAGTATGCTGTATCTGACAATGATCCGTATCAATACCAACTGTGTGAGGTGAAGGCATAAGAAATGGTGTAATGAACAATTATGGAATAAGCTTTCCACCTGGCAGTTCTTTCTAGCTAATGAGTATTTAGAGCAGTGATATTCAGACAGAATTGTGAGCTGCAAGTGGCTCTTTAGTGTGTTTTATGTGCTCTTTACAGCATATGATATTTAAAGCACTGTGTTTTATTAACCAGCCACCATGTTTTTACTAAGTTTACAACCAATTGTGATCGATAAAATAATACTTGGTCAGTCATTTTGCTGCAAGAATATATATATATATAAACTAAATATTTCCCCCATCATATTGTTTAAATATGACTCTTTAGTGCTATAGCAAATGAAACAATGAATCACACTATTGTAGCTCTTTTGGGTAGTGTTGATCACTAATTTGGCTCATGAACCACTGAGGTCTGAGTATCACTGATTTAAAGATCTAAAGGTTTATGCCTTTAACAAAAAAGAAACAAAAAATACATCAGTGTGTAGTATGTTAAATCATTCTTAGTAAATCCCATCAATTTTTCAGGCATGCACACTAGAATGTGAAGGAAAACTGCCTTCTGCCAAAGCCTGGGAAACCTGCAAGGAGCTTGTGCAATTGACTAAACTGGATCTTTCTGAGGAAGGCAACAGTGTTCCAGGGGACAACAAGAAAGAAGAAGAGGAGAACCATTTGCTAGCAAAGAAGTATGGGGGCTTCATGAAAAGGTATGGTGGCTTCATGAAGAAAATGGATGAGCTTTATCGTGTAGAACCAGAGGAGGAAACAAATGGAGGAGAAACCCTTTCTAAAAGGTATGGAGGGTTTATGAAGAAAGACTCCAGTGATGACACTCTGGTTAATTCCTCAGATCTCCTGAAGGAGCTTCTGGGAACAGGGGCCAAGGCTGAAGCTTCACCTTACCGACAGATCAATGATAATGATGGGGAGGTCATGAAAAGGTATGGAGGCTTCATGAGAAGCTTCAAGCGCAGTCCAGAACTGGAAGATGAAGCCAAAGAGTTGCAAAAGAGATATGGCGGCTTTATGAGAAGAGTAGGGAGGCCAGAATGGTGGCTGGACTACCAGAAACGATATGGTGGATTTCTTAAGCGCTTCTCTGATTCTTTTCTCCCTTCAGATGAAGATGGGGAAAGTTATTCCAAAGAGATTCCAGAGATGGAAAAGAGATATGGTGGATTTATGAGATTTTAATACCCTACCTTTTAACCCTTTTGTCCCAAATGAGAGACACTGCCTCACTGGTCATAATTTATTGTAATGTGTTGCTTGTACTGTACAGTTTTTTACTGTCCTAGTTAATGATGCAGTCTGTTGTTTCAGGTTCTGTGTTCTTTGAAGTTAATAACTTCTGTTTTAGTCAGATTTAAAACTATATTGTAATTTTCATGCTAAAACTATTTTGGTTACCATATCCCTTTTCTTTAAACACTACTGCACATCTACAGTACAATTGCTTAATTGTATATATAATAAATTCTTCATCCTAACGGCATAATGAATTTTGAAGTGTCTGTTATTTCCTACTTGTGCATTTAATCAACCACTTTGTCAAATTCATTCGACGTTAAATAACCAAATCTTATAATTTAAAGCCCCTGCTCTTTGCAATCACTCAATTCCTACTATTCACATTATAGCAGGAACTGAAATTGGATTCATTTTTATCTTTGCTTCCTAAGATTCTAATAAAGTTAGGGCACTGAATATATCCTACATTTTTGCAATTTAATGAGATATAGTAATTTTACTCTTTTTTAAAAAAGTTAGTATCTACTACATTTAACTGAATACATTAACTCATTTTAAGATACTAAAACATTTCTTCAACATTCCTGGCACAGCAGGGAGTTCTAATATCTTGTTTCTTTAGAGATATTTTTTACATTAATCCAATATAGGTTTGTGCAACTGGTTGTTCAGCTACAATCATTAACAGTCAAAGGTTTCCCTTCCTCAGGAAAGTGCACAAAAGAAGGAAAAACTGAATAAAAAACGCACTATTTAGACCTTGGAGAGTGTCTGACAGAGGTTTCTTTGGGGAGCAGTCTTGTGGCTTATCCTCAGATAATGTATGTTGATGTGGCTCTGTTGAAATCAATGAAACTCTGTTGGTTTATACCAGCTGAAGATCTTAGCCCCTTGTGTTTGGGACTGGTTTTGGGCCTAATCTTAACAAAGAAGCTGAGATTGTATGGGAAATCCCAACCCCAGCACTGCAGATCGTATGGCAGCCATCCCAACCTCAGTTAGCACTTCCCCCAGTTTACCAGAGCTCCCTAACATTGCAGCTCTCTTAGGGACTCTGTTGACATTGGTCTTTTTGCCACAAAGAGTGGCAATGCATAATTTGCCCAGGAGCTTCCCAAAGTGGCTGCTTCTGTGCTCTATTCCTACACATCTAGTCACCGGGTATCTCCCACAAAGCTTCTCCATCTACACATTGGATTATTAATAATTAGTGTTGGAAGTGTGCACAAGAGTTCAAAGACAAATAAAAGATAAGACCAAAATTTTCAATTATTGACAACAAAGTTAGGCTCCTAAACATACATGTAACTGCCTGAGTAGGAGGTGATTGGTTTCAGTGGCGCTGAGTGCACAGCAGCTGCTAGTGAAATCTGTTTTATTTTTAAAAAGTGATGCTTATGCACAAAGATGTCAATTTATTAGCCTGTATCTCCTTTCACTAAAAGCCCATGGAGCTGCTGAGCACTTTGAATCTTTGAAAATCAGGCTTCTTGTTTAGACACCTAAATATGAATTTAAGAGACTAGCTTTATGACCCAATTTCAGAAAATCCTGGGCTTAGTCTAGAGAGGATAACTCAGATGGCTGAACAAGGTCAAGAATCAGTGGGAGGGCTGATTAACTACAGGACAGTCATTTTACTGAAGAGGCAAGCAAAGCATCTTTCTTTTTATTTCTCTTAGTCAGCAAATGATGCTCAACTTAGAAAGATGTGAAAGAGAGCCTCTGACCATCTCAGCAGGAGGAAGTTTGGCATGGGTGGAAGTAATTATTTGCAGGGTCTAGGTCGAATATATGGAGCGGCAACAGAGCCTATACATTTACTGGGTGGTGCAAAAAAATGACAAAGAAAAAAGTCCAAATTCACTATAAAAATTTAACTAAAACTATGTTCCACCACATTAACATCATTTACACTCTCAAAATTGTCAAAACGGCTGATAGCCCTCTGTGCACAACTCATGAGCATATCTCTACGGTTTACACTACCGAGAGTGCACTACAGATTTCATTATTGCACTTGGTTTAAAATGGACCTACATATTTCAGCCTTATTTGTATATATCATAAGGAACATTTTACTTCAACAAAACAAATATATGTGCATAGGTATTTTAATATAATTTGAACTTTTAATGATTGTTTTAATATGTAATAAAATAAATTGTCTAAATCTCCAGTAATGAGACGAGCTTGGTACAGGGCCAATAATAAAAAGTGGAGCTATGAGTGAGGAAACCGACTGCACATGCCTCATGATGGCCTTGAAGTTTGGTCTGACTAGCAGGGGGGTGGCCAGCTTCCAGAACAAGGATTAGCTCCTCCTTTGGATGCATCTGGAGGAGAGAAGAGGGATTTATCTGCCTCCAGTTGGCTAGCCAAAGGAAATAGTGGAGCTATCAGGCAAGCAATAGGTGACATGGGTCTATATAATGGGTCATAGATCAACAAGAGGCAGCAGTAAGAGGATCTACCAAGCAAAGCAGATAGGAGAGAGTAGTCTGGGCGGATGAGGGGGCAGGGAAGAGTAAGTAGGTTTTCTGTGCTTCCAGCTCTATACCTCTAGCACTGCCTTCAGTGCTATACTAAGGTTCCAGCTCCAACTGCTCAGACATATGGAGCTGAGTGCCTATATGTGAAATAAATTATACATTATCTTCAGTGCCACAAAAGCCACACATTTGGCTTTATTATCCACACCTGAAATCTTAGTGGGACATAGTGATTGAGATTCTAGCCAAGAAGAGCAGCATAGAATTCACAACCTAGGAGGCTTCTGCAACTTCCCAATCCAGGGCAGCTCTGTGGACATAGGAAACCTTTATGATAACTCATCCTGCCTCAGAAGGACAGAGCAGCCTTCTGGGACTGCCATATGGATTGCACCACTGCCTGGAATCTTAGTGCTATGAGAGAGAATCCTATCTCCAGCACAGTCCTACCTCTTTGAGGCATTCAAATACCTCAGTGATGAGTGAGTTATATAAAAATAAAACAAAGCTGTATAAAATGCCTACTTTTCTTTCAAAGTCCTATACCTTCACACTTTCTGCCTGTGGTCATTAAGCGTATCTCTTCCTCTCCAACCTGTTTCTTTGCCCTCTTTTCTCCAATGTCGGTGATCCCTCTAATGCACAGATTTCTAATAATCTCTGCTTTCACCTCAAGCCATCTTTCCTGGATTCTTGGATCAATTTCCCCACAAGAGACCAACATTATTTCACCATCCAGGAGAGGGAGATTTGAATTGAACTGGAAAAAATGGAAAGAATATTTGATATACATAATTGGAAGTACTCCTGGGAAAAAATGAAGCCTCATTTAAATGCTTATATTTGTAGTTAAGAGTGTGGCTGTGGGTTTCCAACTTTGAACTTTTTTGTCCTTAAACTTTCTGTTGCCTTCAGTAATAAAAATGATCATAAAGATCAAAGGAAATACATAGATTAAAAACACCCCATTGTTTTGTGGCTATGTCCTGATGCTTCCTCCTAGGGAGGCAGGGAAGTGTCACAGTGAAAATGTTTGTAAACAACAAATAAGTTAGTGAAACCAGCTGTAAATCATTAATCCAAGCACTCAATTACTAATTCCATCAGCCTTATTTAAAGTGCCCCAACTGTTGCATATCCAATTAACTGTTGCCATGGAAAATGAAAGAAGGCTTAGAGACATTTGACAGATGCATCTTTACCAGCACAGAAGGGATTTAGACTGAAATTCTTTAATTAGATTGTGACTTACCTAAATTGAGCATTTACTGTAATCTTTATTGAAGCCATGCAATGAAATCCATCAAGAATAAACAGCTGTCAGAACACCACCCCTGGGTTCTAAATGATTTTTCAAAGAGTACGGCACTGCTTTGTGTTCATGGAGCTTGGCACATTTCTGTGATAAGAGTTTATCACTAAGTCTTTTCAGAGACACCATTGCTTTTTTCAGTAGACTAAAGGCATATGTGGTCTTTGCCTGTGTCATGGCTCAATTCCCCAACCTGGCACTCCTAGTGTAGATATGGACTAGCAGAATAAACTCTGTAAGAACCTGTTTCTGTAGCTCACAGAGACAAACTTGTCTCAGTTTCCCTGAGATATAAGAAAAAAAATCACTGCCACCACCAAGTGTCAATTTGAATAAAAAAAGAAATAAACCTTCTTACTGGGAAGAGACCACATGGAATCCCTTCCCTGAGGCAAAGTTCTCCCTTTCTCCAGCCCCAATCTCCATTTTTCTTGGAGTTGGGAAAACAGAGGGAATCTGCAGAGAACAATGGGACTCTGCTTCTCCTGAGTAACTTGGGTACATAGTTTAAGGGCACAAAAATCAACCAATACCAGTTAATCAAATCAAAAAGGAAAAGACTTTTATTATCAAAACAAAACTACTGTTGCAAGCATAGTAAATGACTGGATGTTAAACAGCCATGGAGTGAAAAAGACTCAGGAAGAATCCCTGGGCTGTAAGCCTTAGTTACAAGAGAGACAAAACAATTAACTGGCTCAGACAGAATTTCCAAACCCCCAAACAAGGAAAACAATAAAACCTGATGGACTATCTAAACTTTTCCCAACTTACACATTTCAAAGAGTCCATTCCTGAGAGAATCCGTCTCCTCTGTTACCTGGGGAAAACTGCTCTGATCTCAAGACAAAGGAAGAGAGAAGAAAAAAACCCTCTCTCAGTTTGAAATTCCTATCTGCATTTCATTGGCTGAATGCTTGAAGCCCCTTCCCTCAGGTGTATCTCCAGAGTTGCTTAAACCTTTCCTCACTCTCCAGGTAAGTCAGCTCCTGTTCAGGACAGCATGCCAAGTCTGATGCCACTGATCCCTCTCTCACTCTCTGTCAGCCATCCTTACTGGTCCTGCAGCAATTGCTTCTAACAGATTCTTCTGACCCTGTATTTTCCTAATAAATTATAATAGCATGCTTTGTCTTATGCTCCAGTTCCACAATCAGATCACTGGGAGTGGACCTCTGTTAGTGCTCATGTTCATTCCAGGCCTTTTAAACTGCAGTTTGTGGGATGAGTTTCTATTCACAGTGGGTACATCCACACTGCAGAGCTATTTTGGGATACTGGAAGTATCCCAAAATAGCTATTCCACGTCTTTTGAAACAGCTTATTTCAAATAGATTTTGAAATAATGGGTGGCTTATTCCAACATCCCAGTAACCCTCTTTCCACAAGGGTTAAGAGGAATTTTAGAATAGCTGTGTAGACAGTGACAAATTA